AGTATCAACGCCTTCCCTACACCTCCGCCCCCCACCCACTCTTGTTCTGTAGGTTGTAGCTCTGGTGTCACCTCCGCCCCCAAAGCTTCCCGTAGCCTCCAGGGCATCCAGAGCTCAGCTCTTCTCTGGATCGGTACTCCCCACTGCTGTCGCCACTGTCCCACACGTCTGTCATCCTTACTTGGATGTAAGCAGCTGGAGGGCAGCGTTGATGCCTTGATCCCAGTGACCTCCTCTTTGTCTAAGGAAAAAATGGGGCCCTAGAACATGGAGTCAGAATTCAGATGCAAACTCTGATACAGAGGATGGATAAATAGCAGGGTCTTGGTGCACGGCACAGGGAACTCTGTTCAGTATCCTGGGATAAACCATAATGGAAAAGAATAGGAAAAAGAATCTATATACGTATAACTGAGTCACTTTGCTGTACAGCAGAGATTAACCCAACATTGTAAATCAACTCTACTTCAATAAAGTTTAAAAAAAAACAAGTACACGAGGCGCTGACGCCTTGAAAGGCGGAAAGAGCACCTTCTCTGGGACTGGGCTGTGAAGGTGGGCATAGACCTTGATCCACGCGGATTTATAGGTCACGTGAGAAGGTGCGGGGTTAGCGGCACGATTTTCACAGTAAAGGGGGAGGTGAGCTCTTTTGCTGAGAATGAGAATGAGGGCTTAGGGTTGAAGAGCATATGAAGGAATCATCAGGCTGAAGGGCCAGGGAGGGAGGTAATCAAGAGCAGGGCCGTCCCATTAGGGCCTCGTGTGAATCACGTTCCAACCCACTACTCAAACTCTTCTGGGTTCTGGATGCCTTTCTTTCCCATTCATCCTAGTGATGGGTTTCTTCAGGATGGTTTAGGCCTACAAACCCGTATTTTTACCTGTGAGCTATGAAGTTATCCTATTCACCTGTGATAAAAATAGTGGGATCTAAAAAGAAAATCCTAGTCTGGGAGCTAGAAGAGAATCTTGGCGTGTGTCCCCACTTACTTAATCTTATATTTCCCAAATAGTGACGTGAAAAGAAGATTGAGATAAAACTCTTGTGCTTTATTTTTTTAGAGTGAAAATGCCCATATTTCTTTCAGTAGTAAAAATGGAGATATGCTTATTTGAACGTCTTGTGATGAACACCACCTACGTGAACATTTCTTCAGGCTGGCAGATGCTGGTAATAAAGGTAACTTTTCAACAAAAGCATTTTCTAAGCAGTATTTCTCTTATCAAACATTTGAGGCTGATCCACTTCAGAGCCCAGGGCTTTACATTAACCGTATAAGATACACACGCACATAATATGCATCTACATACATGTATCCTAAGATAAAGTAGAATACCAGTTTTACAGGTAGCAGTCACATCTTTATAAAAGGGGAATTTGGGTCCTGTACACGCTGCAGGCGGTGTCTTCTTGTGTATCCTTTGTCACTGAGAAAGTGCTACTGTCATTGTAAGTGTAAATATACTACCTTTCTACACAGCCATACCCCATTTTTCCCACAAAAGGTGGCCGCAATTTACTTGGTGAATATATAGCCTTCTGCAGAAGGAAGAGTCTGTTATTAAAATAACCCGAGTATGACCCAGCAGAAGACACTACTGCCTCTAAACTCCCTGTCCTACACGGAGTCCACGAGTTCTTTGTTTTATTAATAATAAATATTTTGAACATCCTAGGCCTCCACTGCTTTCTCAGATAGGGAGTGAAGCAGGTCTTTGTAGAGAGCAGAGTTCATGAACCGGGGGTACGAGTCCCTGTGCATCAAGGTGTAGATCTGCAGCTGGGCGTCATCAAAGATGTGCGGGGACGGCTCGGCCATGCTTCTGTTGATGGTCTCCCTCACGCGGGAGTCCAGGCTGACCTGCCGGCGGGGACACATGGGGCTGTGTCAGACAAGGGCCTCTTTGGACATACACCCCAACTCCCATACCTTGTTTGGTTTTTTAAAAATCCCAGACCCAACAAGGTCATCCCCAAACCTAAGCTGTTGAAAGAGGAACTGAACACAATGAACAGTGGTCCCAAACTTCAGAGGCATCAGAAGCCCCTGGAAGGCTCGTTAAAAAAGAGTGCGGGGGGCCCCCCCCCCAGAGCTTCTGACCCAGTGGATCTGGGGGCGGCTGACAGTTTGTATTTCTCATGAGTTCTCTCGGTGATGCCGGTGGGGATCGCACTGCTTTAGAAAACCACAACGCTGCTCTGCTTCTTTAAAATGAGGGGACAGTGGCCGCAAGGAAGAAAGGTAGCGCACACTGACTTACCCCTGGCGAATTGCCTAAGAACACTAAGGCTAAAACCTGGAGCTCCAGGCTGGAGTCAGGCAGAAGTGACCCGAAGCACCATGGAAGGGTCAGTGCCACGGGCTTGGGCTTAACTCCCGGCTCTGTCGCTGTTTGGCTGTGGGACCTCAGGCAAAGTGAACTGTGCCCTGAAGAACTGCTCCCTAGGGACCTACCCGGAGGTCCAGTGGTTAAGACTCTGAGCTCCCAGCGCAGGGGGCATGGGTTCGAGCCTTGGTCGGGGAACTAAGATCCCGCATGCCGCGGGGTGTGGCAAAAAACCCCAAACAACCTGCTCCATAAAGTGGGGGTGATGAAGGTGGTAGCTGGTCAGGGCTTAATGAGAATGAATTCAAAGTATGGGGAGTCCACGACGTCCCAGGAGGTGCTGCCTCCTTGCTCTCCGATGTCTGCTCGTCCTGGACGAAGCACATCCCAGACCAGAGCGGCCCGCGGCAGCCAGAAAGCCGAGAATGGGACAGGGCCTCACACGCCTTCTCTGCCGCGTGAGGAGCCTCGGCTAGACCGTCTCTGCACCAGGGGGACAGGATAGATGCGCAACGCATGTGCTGTTGTTTAATATAAAACTGAAAGTGTGCTTATCCAAGTCACTGAGCACGGGCTTCAGTGATCTGTCTTTCCAGATGCATCTATCCACCTCCTCCTGGGAAGGCTGGGAGCGCTTATCCCCTGCAAGTCAGGGTCCTGCTCACCCTCTTCCTCCCTCTGGCTCTGTAACGGGCACAAAGCCCTGCTGACGCCGCCTCTTTGACGCGGCTCGAATGCGGCCACCTCCCCCACCTCTCTGCCGTGACCCTCATGGAGGTCAGCCACCACCTCGACGGCATTTGTTCACCAGCCTCCTGACTGGCCTCGGGCCAGCAGTCCAGGGCCTCTCCGCACCACCCCCGGACCCAGCACTCGGCTCCGGACCTCGTGCTGGTGTCGGTGGGCTCAGGATCAAGCGCAGAGCTTGCAAGTTCCAAGTTTAAACTTAGGAGGCCCTTTATGACCTGCTCCCACTGGCTCCCCAGCTCCGCCTCACTATTCCACTCAAGAATTCAAGGAACTTGGCATTCGCCTGGAATTTAAAGGAAGGAGGAGCGAGAACTAGCTTGTCTTTGTTCTAGGAGGCTGTCTAGGGGAACTGTCTAGAACGGCCTGGCTACGTGTACTTCTCCGCTAGGTCTTGGTTTCCACGTTGCTCCCCGGTCCTGGGAAGCCTCCCAGCCACCCTGAGCTGATCCCCACAGCTGCCCTCACCACCAGGCCATGCCCTCCTAGAAGCTTCTGGAGTGTGAGGGCCCAGGTCTTAGCAGCTCAGCTCCTGCCAGAGGGGGGACTCGACACTCATTGTGGGCTTAGAGGAGAAAGCCTCCTGCTTGCTCTTGTTAGAAAACTCCTTTGCACAGCAAAGGAAACCATAAACAAGACCACAAGACAACCCTCAGAATGGGAGAAAATATTTGCAAATGAAGCAACTGACAAAGGATTAATCTCCAAAATTTACAAGCAGCTCATGCAGCTCAATAACAAAATAACAACCCAATCCAAAAATGGGCAGAAGACCTAAATAGACATTTCTCCAAAGAAGACCTACAGACTGCCAACAAACACATGAAAGGATGCTCAACATCACTAATCATTAGAGAAATGCAAATCAAAGCTACAATGAGATATCTCACACCAGTCAGAATGGCCATCATCAAAAAATCTAGAAACAATAAATGCTAGAGAGGGTGTGTAGAAAAGGGAACACTCTTGCACTCTTGGTGGGAATGTTAATTCATACAGCCACTATGGAGAACAGTATGGAGGTTCCTTAAAAAACTAAAAATAGAATTACCATATAATCCAGCAATCCCACTACTGGGCATATACCCTGAGAAAACCACAATTCAAAAACAGTCATGTACCAAAATGTTCATTGCAGCTCTATTTACAATAGCCCAGAGATGGAAACAACCTAAGTGTCCATCATCGGATGAATGGATAAAGAAGATGTGGCACATATATACAATGAAATATTACTTGGCCATAAAAAGAAACGAAATTGAGCTATTTGTAATGAGGTGGATGGAGCTCTTAGAGTCTGTCATACAGAGTGAAGTAAGTCAGAAAGAGAAAGACAAATACCGTATGCTAACACATATATATGGAATTTAAGAAAAAAACAATGTCATGAAGAACCTAGGGGTAAGACAGGAATAAAGACACAGACCTACGAGAGAATGGACTTGAGGACACAGGGAGCGGGAAGGGTAAGCTGTGACAAAGCGAGAGAGAGGCATGGACATATATACACTACCAAACGTAAGGTAGATAGCTAGTGGGAAGCAGACGCATAGCACAGGGAGATCAGCTCGGTGCTTTGTGACCACCTAGAGGGATGGGATAGGGAGGGTGGGAGGGAGGGAAGAGATATGGGAACATATGTATATGTATGACTGATTCACTTTGTTATAAAGCAGAGACTAGCACACCATTGTAAAGCAATTATACTCCAATAAAGATGTAAAAAACAAAACAAAACCCTAGTGCTTAGGAAATCTAATGGAGGCAGAAGCAGTAAAGGGTAGTTTTATGGGAATAACATCACAGATTTTCTGTAGAATACACAGATTTTGACTGGTTAGAAAGTCAAGGCAGAATGCTTTTGTTCTGAAGATATAAACCCTCTTCTAAATTGAGCTGTTATTGGAAGTTAGAAATTTTTTGTTGCTGTTGTATTGCTTTGTGTTTTCATGATTATTCTGCTTGCATCTCCCTCGTTAAACCTTTGATCTGGGGAAGAGTGCCACTACTGGAAATGAGTTTACAGATTTATTCTCAAAAACAGCAGGAAACGGTTCTCACCTAAATATTAAGAAATAATCCCTATACTGGTGTACTAACAGAATTATGATTCAGGGATAATAATTCTATGAAATGTAATTAAACACACAATATATATTTTTTTCTTTTAAATTTCCATTGTTAATTTTTAAAAGTACAATTATAATTCAATTTCTTTGTAACAAGTGAAATTTAAAGTAAAAGAAAAAAAAATTAGACTAAGCGTGGGACTTCCTGGGCGGTCCAGTGGTTAAGACTTCTTCCAAAGCAGGGGGTGCAGGTTCGATCCCTGGTTGGGGAGCTAAGATCCCACATGGCTTGCGGCCAGAAAAACCAAAACATAAAACAGAGGCAGTATTGTAACAAATTCAATAAAGACTTTAAAAATGGTCCACATCAAAAAAAAAGTCTTTAGAAAAAAAGAAAGACAATTAGACTAAGCGTTACTGCAGAAAACATCAAAAAATATTCTAGGGGACTTCCCTGGTGGTGCAGTAGTTAAGAATCCACCTGCCAATGCAGGGGACACGGGTTCGAGCCCTGGTCTGGGAAGATCCCACGTGCAGCGGAGCAACTAAGCCCATGAGCCACAACTACTGAGCCTGCGCTCTAGAGCCCATGAGCCACAACTACTGAGTCTGCGCTCTAGAGCCCGCGAGCCACAACTACTGAGCCTGTGAACCACAACTACTGAGCCTGCGCGCCTAGAGCCCGTGCTCTGCAACAAGAGAAGCCACCACAATGAGAAGCCTGCGCACCGCAACAAAGAGTAGCCCTCCGCTCGCCACAACTAGAGAAAGCCCGCGCGCAGCAACGAAGACCCAGTGCAGCCAAAAATAAATTTAAAAATACATTCTAGTTCACAAACAGTTAAGGTGCAAATGGAACTGTTTCATTCTCTACAACCTCCATCTGAAGACCGTCCCTCAAGTGCTGGTGGGGACAGGGTCTGCTCAGGACGGGAAATGGACACAGGGTTGCTGAGGGTGGTCACCCTGGGTGAGCCTGCTCTGCCCGGTGTGGGCACGACTTCACATCGTCCCCTTGTCACTCTTCCCAAATGTTCAGGCAAGTGGGGACCTCCCCTTCCTACACAGGAGGGAACCGAGGTGCAGAGAGGCTCAGAAACACACCCGAGGTCAGGCAGCTATTAAATGAGAGAACTGGGGCTCAAACCCCAGTGCCTCTGATCCCAAGGTCTACGCTCTTAAACTTTTCAAGCTTTTACATTTCAAGTAATAGATGCTTATATTTGGGAGGAAAGGGTCGTCTTTTTATATCATCTTTGCTTTACAAATTTGCCAAGTTTTTTGGTTGTATAATGCTTTGAAAGACAGTGATGAAAAACCTTGCCTTAAAAAATAAAAAGGAAAGTCATGACAAAATAAAAATATGTGGAAGCCATACATTAAAGGACAAAAATTCTCTTGCTTTTTGTTAACCCCAAATGGAAAGAACTTTCTGAACTTCGTGTCCGTACATGTGTCAATGGAATATCCCCAACTTACTGCAAACTTAAGGAAGCGAAATTGAGTCCCACTGTCTTTCTCCCAAGCATGGTCCCCACCCTGTCTGCCTAAACCAGACGTGCAGTCATTCCAGACTCAGATCAAAGCCATCCTCTCTGGCTTCTCTTCAGCTGGCCTGGTTGGACCATTGTCATGTCTGGGTTGGAATTCATCCTCTAACTGGCCTCTGCCTCTGGTCTTCTTTTCGTAATCTATCATGTGGTCTTCAAAAATCCAAGTTTGGTGATATTACCAGGCTAAAATCCAAGCTCTTCCCGGATAAATCTCAGAAAGCTCAGCCTGGTCTGCAAACCTCTCCGTGCTCTCGGACCATCCTCTTTTCCTAACGTTCCTCCTGCTGTTGGCCACCGGCCCCAATTGTTTGGTAAGCACCGTACCCTTCAGCCACCAACTTTCTGACGCTTTCGCTGTTCCTGTGACCCCATGCTCTTATCCCTGGCCCATCTAGTCCTGTCCCCTGGGATGCCTTCAGCCCACTGCGTTTCTGGTAATTTCCTCCTCATTATCCTTGGCCCATCCATGGCCTCTCTAGGTACCTCTTCCTCATGCCCCCAGCCCCCCAGTGATGGCTCGTCCCCCAGCCCGTCACGACCCCAAGACGTCGCACCCGGGGCCCCATGTCTGCTGCCCCCTTGTCTGTGAGCTCCCTGACAGGAGAGGTCCTGTTTTATTAGCTTTACATTCTGAGCGGCACGTGGGATTTTACCATCGGAGCTACAAGGCACTTAGGTTTGAGGCCAACGTAACCTCCTAGATTTTGGAAGAATGAAAACTGAGAGATGGAAACCTGATGATTTCACTCCTCTGATCACTTCTCTGATGTCACAAAGGGCCACTCTGGGGCGAACCTCTGCAACATAGCATCATATAAGTGATGCCCTTTCCATCTAGAGTCAGGCTACCTGTAAACGAGACTTTGCTCAGATTAAAAGGATAATTTTATTTAAAGGAATGCTTATAGGCTGTCATTTAAAAACAGCGTTTACAGCAAAATGCATAGACGCCTACTTCTAGAGAATCGGATGAAAGTTATAGATACTTTTCCCAGGAAAATGCACACAATCTTTGACTGATTTCTGGGGGCACTGGGCCCCCATTGGTGGGACCACCCCCCAAGGCGTTTGAACACTATGAATGGTGGAGCAGCCCTGACCAGGCCGGGTGACCAGACACTGAAGGGGTTCCTTTCACCCACGGCCTCCTGGGGGACGTTTCTGGTGGGTACGTACCTCTTTAGGAGAAAGAATAGAAACGTAGTCTTCATATATTATTCTTGCTTTCTCTTCAATCATGGTTTTATTAGCTTCTTTTTTCAGTTCCTCACACGCCATCCAGAAGAGCATGTTTTCCTCACTGAACTCCGTTCGGAGAAACTCCCGGAATGCGTTCCTTCCCGCAGGCGTGAGCATGAGTTTGTCGAAGGACTGGGCCCAGGCGCTGGCCTCCTCCAGGCTGGGACCCGGGCTGGGCGGGGGGCGGGAGAAAGGGGCGAAGGGAGCAGAGGTATTGGTGGCTGATGTGAATTGCATCCCGAGAAACATGTCTTTTTCGCTCTGAGAATGAAAATGTGCCCTTAGGCCCTTTTAAGCAGAGAAAGAGCTGTTCTCATTTCCTTGCACCTTCGGCAGAAACACGTGTGGCACTTTCCAACTGTCTAGCTGGACGGCACCACTGCTGCCAAAGGGCTTGCAAACCAAACTGCTGGAATAACTGCTAATAACAAGCCCGTACATCTAGGCACATCCTGGCAAAGGTTTTAAATTATAAAAGTAAAACAAAAAATTCTTAACAACCATCTGACCACAAACACCCCAGGTGGCTGTGATAGACCCAAGTCAGACCTGACCACCTGGCTTCCAGAACAGTCATGGGGCAGTGTCTGCCCAGGGTTCTAAAAGATTCAAAAGAGAATGTTAAAGAGAAAAAGAAAAGAAGATAAGTTTTGTCCAGTAACTGCAAGTGATGAAGAGCGATGACGAACTGAGCACTTACGGATTCACCTCTTCTTACCTGGAGACCTAGGTCATCCGCAGCGCTGCACTCACCTGGGTGCTAGGTCCACACACTGCCCTCTGGACGCCCCCCTCCATCCCTGATGGAACTGCTCTTCTTGATTTTGGGGCTTACCCTGTTTTAGTTTATTTTTACTTACATTTTCATTATATTGAGGCCAGAAAACACAATCTGTTTAACAATGATCCTTATTAATTTCTTTTCCCTTACCCTTTTTCTTTTCATAGTTTTTATGTATGGATGTATTCCTGGAGAATATATTCTTTAGTTTTTTTTTTTTAAAAGACTCTGCTTTTATTTTTATTTTATTATTTATTCATTTATTTACTTATTTATTTATTGGCCAAGCCTCGAGGCTTGTGGGATCTTAGTTCCCTGACCAGGGATTGAACCCATGCCCTGCAGTGGAAGCGCAGAGTCCTAACCATTGGACTGCCAGGGAATTTCCCTTCCTGGACAATTCTGATAGTCGAATTCAGCCTACTCATTTTTTGATTCCATGTTTAATTGGTTTAAACATTTCAGAGACCATTACTTTATATTTGATTGCAGATAATTCTAACATCTGAAGTCTTTTGGCCTCTAAATCCAAGTGTTGTTTCTACTGACTCTCATTTGTGGTAGGTTGTGTCCTTCTAGTTTTGTAATTTTTGGTTGGTCTTAATCTTTGGGAAACTGAGAGTCACATTTGATGGTATTCCCTTTCCTCCAGAGAGGATGTGTGTGTGCTCCCTACTGACTGGGGACCACTTCTGCTCCTTTCGTGGACCAGGGCTGAATCGTGGAATCCTGGCTTTAAGCTCCTTGCCCTACCCCCTCTGCACTGGCTCTGAGAGAAAACCCTTCTGTCCTGTGCTTAGCAGTCACTGCTCAGGGCTTTGCTTACTTTTTATTTGGTTTTGCTTTTCAGGTGCTTTGTCCTTTTCCTTACTTTCTGTGAGCCCAGTGTTGCAAAAACTTTTAGACTTATGCAAAATCTGTTCTTCTGTCTTGGGAAGGCCCCCAGATGATCTGATCTGCCACACTGCCAAAGGCTCTCTCTCCATTTAGTTTTGGGGGGGTAAACAGTGTATCGCCAAGAATTTGATATGTAGCGAACTTGTCCTAATTATATGATGATGATAGAAAAAACTCTCTCCCATAGGCAAAGTTTACAATGTAAATTCTATGTCCTTTTCCTATCTTTAAGATGGATTATAAGTGACCCAGCAGAGAAACATCAGTGAAAAGCTGAAGACCAGAGAGTTCCCTAGGATTCCGGGCTTTCATTGCCATGGCCCGGGTTCAATCCCTGGGTGGGGAACTGAGATCCCATAAGCCACGCCGCACGGCCAAAAAAAATAAAAAAGCTGAAGACCAGACAAAATGGGTCATAGAAAGCGAGTAGTCAGCTGAGCCAGCAGTGACACACAGACAGATAAACAGTCATTTCAAGTTTAGTTTCAAAGTTAGATTCAGTGTGTATAGATGAATCCTATGTAAGTACAACTGTGTGGAAATGCATAGATAGTTCCTTTGAGGATACGTGAAAAAACTGTTGATGGTTTATATTTGGAGATTGGGACAAGGTCTGGAGTAAGAGGACAACTGAGCTTTTATTGTAAAACTTTTGTATTGTCTGATTTCTGTTTTTTATAACAGGTGTTTCAAGCTTTTCATCATGAAAAGAGTATTCTATATGAAAACAAATCTCTATCATAACCAGTAAAATTAGTTTTGAAAGAAATATATATATATATACATGTTTTTTGGCTATGCAGCTTGTGGGATCTCAGTTACCCCACCAGGGATTGAACCCGGGCCACAGCAGTGAAAGCCCAGAATCCTAACCACTGAACCACCAGGGAACTCCCTGAAAGAAATATTTTAAAAGATGCTTATAAGATAATTTAAAAATAGTAACTTAAAACAATCTACATAAAAATACCGGATTCTTTTTAGATAGGTTAATTAAATTGGCAAGGCTTAGTAAAGAATGCTAAATTTAAAAAAAAAAGAATGCTAAGTTATGTTCCTTAAATGTGGGGATTCAAAATATATCTTCTTACTCCTTTTAATTTAAGAAATACATATAAAAGAATGACTGAAAAACTTAAGGGTAATCAGTAGTACCCTTTAAAAAGAGAGAGAGGGCTTCCCTGGTGGCGCAGTGGTTGAGAGTCCGCCTGCCGATGCAGGGGACACGGGTTCGTGCCCCGGTCCGGGAACATCCCACATGCCGCGGAGTGGCTGGGCCCGTGAGCCATGGCCGTTGAGCCTGCGCGTCCGGAACCTGTGCTCCTGTGCTCCGCAACGGGAGAGGCCACAACAGTGAGAGGCCCGCGTACCACAAAAAAAATAAAAATAAAAAAATAAAATAAAAATAAAAAGAGAGAGAGAGGGAGAAAACCTATCTTTTCCATAGTACCAAAGAACCTAGAAGAAAAGAAAGCACAGTTCATACAGTAAAAAAAAAGGAAATAATGAGGCGGTATTGTAAGTAGACAGTCAACAAACATTCTAGAAGATTAAACATATCCATAATCATCAAGACAACTGACCCAATGTAATTGGATTTTAATTCCCAGTTGAGTGACAGAAACTCAAACTGGGCAAAAATCCAACATAATGCTATTTTCGGGAAGCATACAAAATACTACCAAAAATTATAAACAAATAGACAGGCAAAGATATGTGAGGGAAATGCAGATGAATAAGATTAATATCTAAATAGAAATGGAAGCAAAAGGCATCAAATTGGATAAACAGTCATTTTATATTATTGGATATGACTGAGAACAAATAATGGCCGATATACATGGAATCGTTCCCTCTTGCCTGGCTCTGGTCTCAGTGCTTTACTGGTTACTCAGTGCTCACGACAACCCTTCTTTGGCTGAGTCACAATACACTGTTATTATCCCCATTTTATACACAGGGAAACTGAGGCAGAATGTGGCTGCTAAGTGCCCAAGGTCATACAGGCAGGATGGACAGAGCCAGGACCAGATGAGGGCTTTCTGGTTCCAGACAGTACTCAAAGCCTCAAGCCTTGGTTCAGAATACAGTATACTGAACTATATAAGATAAAAGCTGTTTTTAACAGACTCATGAACTGTAGAAGATTTTAATATGCATCCTAGACTTTGAAATATCTGGGTAAAAATAAATAAAATAAAGAATGAAGGAAAATATTTTAAGTAAACTTTTAGGTTACTTGTTTTTTTCCCCCCTCAAAAATAAATAATTTAAGACAAGACCTATTTGAACAATGCTTTTAGGCTATTTGTCTATTGCCTGCAGTTATATTGGCATAACACAAAGAAAAGGAATAAGAATAGGTAAGTGGAAGTAAATCCATAGATAATACAGGAAGGAAAAAAGACAATTTTAAAATTTGGCATTATGGAAAGTAATTTGTGTGTTTTTCCAACTTTTTTCTCAAAATACTTAAAAAATAATACATTTACTAAAGTATATTTATAGTTAAGAAAAAAAATGGACCTTTAAAATTTTCCTGAAACCCTAACTTGTGTATTTCATTATGTTCTTTTATTTAAAAAAGTAAATCACATAAAAATAAAATGACATCATATGCTTTGCCAAGAAGCATCAATTTCTATTTGTGATTAACAGGCATTAGATTAACAGTGGAACTGATTTTTCTCCCTGTCACACAATGAATTAAAAGGAATTCTGCAGGGACTTCCCTGGTGGTCCAGTGGTTAAGACTCTCAGCTCCCAGTGCAGGGGGCCTGGGTTCAATCCCTGGTTGGGGAACTAAGATCTTGCATGCCTCACGGCATGGCCACAAAATAAATAACTAAATAAATAACTTTAAAAAAAAAAGAATTCTGCAGTGAAAATGTGATGCAACATTATGATTTGATATTATTAAATTGCAGTTAGAGAAACTGTGTGTTCTATTGAAACAAAAATGCAAAAAAAGAAAAATCTGGTTGAGAATCTACGAGAGGATGGATGTTCACTAAAATTATTTTGATCATCATTTCATGCCGTATACAAGTCAAATCATTATGCTGTTCTCCTTAGGCTTACACGGTGCTGAATGTCAATTATATCTCAATAAAACTGGAAGGAAAAAATAATAAGGTTGGCATTTCTGTCGATTTAGTGAGCTAAACACTATGAGATTTTACCTTTCTTCACAGATGGGAAGGTCCTCTGTTCTGAGTTCATAGGAAGCACTCCTGAGTCTCTGTTCCTCTTGGTTTCTAACAGTGAGACTGCAAGAAATAAGACAAACACGTGTTAGTTGAGATCATTCTGTATCAAGGAAAGATTTTTTACAAATATTTCAGAGAACTCCAGCTTACCAATTAGAATTAGTTTCTTTTCTTGATAAAAGTGACAATTCTTTGTTTTCTTAAGAAAACCAAAAGTATGACAATAAACTATTAGCAAAATTAATTCTATTTATAATACTATGGTCTACACTCATTGAGAGAGCTTAGAACAATATTTAGAACAATAATTCTTTTCACAAAACATGTCCATTAGAAAGTAGTAAAAAGATCAGATTTTCAGGAATGTTTTTGGTTTTCATTTTGTTTCCTGAACCTTGAAAAAAGGTATACATTCTCCAGACTTTGTTTCCCAGTAAAAATGGAGATTTTATGTATTTACAGGCACACATATGAAATTATGAAAGAAAGCCAGGAAAGTGTACAATCAAAATCTCTATTGTATCTTTCAAGAGAGTTTGTTTCCTTATACACGTTTTGTACCTTCATTTGTAAATTTATTCCAGGTATTTCTGTTGTTATAGTAAATGGAATTTTCACTTCCATCTCATCTTCTAACTTGTTTGTACGTTTGAAGGTAATTTCTTAATAGCTTTACTGAACCATCATTTTTACATCATAAAGTTGCCTCTTTAAAGTGTACAACTCAGTGGTTTTTAGCATAATCATAAGGTTGTATGACCCTCACTACTATCTAATTTCACATTTTCATCACCCCGAAAAGAAGCCCCAGACCTGTTGGCAGCCACTGCTCATGACACACTACCTCTGACCTACATCAGCCCTCAACATACACTAATCTGCTTCCTGTCTCTAGAGCTATGTGTATCCTTTTTCATTGAATGAAAGATTCTTTAAACTTTACAGTACTTTACAATTTTCAGAAGTTTCACACACATGATTTCATACAATCCCATAGTAACCCTTTTCTTCGCCACCCCTCTATGGCTGCTTCCCCTTTCCTCTCCCCAGTGGTAACCACTAGTGTGTTCTCTAAGACATGTCTATTCTGGATCACACCATATGTGGTCCTTGGTGGCTGGCTTCTTTCACTTGGCATACTGGTTTAAGGTTCATTCATGTTGTAGCATGTTTCACTACGTTATTCCTTTTTGTGCCTGAATAATATTCCATTGCCTGTATATATCACAATTTGTTATCCATTCATCGGCTGATGAACAGTTAGGTTGTTTGCACATCGGGCCTATTTGTAAATAATTCCACTATGAACAGTCATGTACAAGTTTTTGTGTGGCTGTCTGTTTTTATTTCTCCTGTGTAGATACCCAGGAGTGGAAATGCTGTCATGTCATAACTCTATTGTTAACATTTTGAGGAAGGTCCAAACTGTTCTCCAAAGCAGCTGCACCATCTCACACGCCCACCAGCAATGTTGGAGGAAGCCAATTCCTCCACACCCTTGCCAACACTTACTGTTGTCTGTCTTTCTTATTCTAGCCATTTAGGTGGTTATGAAGTGGTATCACATTGTGCTTTTGATTTGCATTTTGCTAATGACTCATGACATTTGAGCATCTTTACAAGTATTTATCAGCTAGTTGTACATCCTCTTTGGAGACATATCTATTCAGATCCTTCACCCATTTTTAAATTGGTTTGTCTTTTTATTTTTGAATTGTAAGAGTTCTTTACATTCTGAAAGCTATTATTTTTTGTTAATTTGATTTCTCTCATTTGTGTTTGTGTCAGCTTAGCAACAATTCCCCTGGCATTCTCAAGGGAATTCTCTTATCATCAGCAAACAGGGAGCTTTTTCTCTTCTTTCCCAATTCTTAGGCCTCCAGTTGTTTTTTCTTATCTGATCCCTAAAGCACAGTGTTGAATAGTAGGGAAGATCCTGGACAGCCTTGCCTTGTTCTTTTTTAAAATAATTAATTAATTTATTTATTTTTGGCTGCGTTGGGTCTTCGTTGCTGCGCATGGGCTTTCTCTAGTTGCAGCGAGCGGGGGCTACTCTTCGTTGCAGTGCGTGGGCTTCTCATTGCGGTGGCTTCTCTTGTTGCGGAGCATAGGCTCTAGGTGCGCGGGCTTCAGTGGTTGGGACACATGGGTTTAGTTGCTCTGCGGCATGTGGGATTTTCCCAGACCAGGGCTCGAACCCGTGTCCCCTGACTTGGCAGGTGGATTCTTAACCACTGCGCCACCAGGGAAGTCCCCCTTGCCTTGTTCTTGATTTTAGAAGGAATGCTTTTAGTTTCCCATTAATATCAAAATGGATTTTTATCATTGATTAGTTGAGTTTGCTTTATCTTACTATTGCGTCTGTACTGTCTTTTCTATTCTTTTATTATGCCTTTCCTTAACATTCTTTACACCATTTTATAAAAGTCTTTTATTCTATTTTCAGGCATTTATGAATTTTCAGTAATTGTGTTTTTGTGTGTAGTTCTATTTTTCTTTAAGTGCAGTCATTAGACATGCAGGAACTCCTTTTTTCTTGTTGCTTTCACGATGCCAGGGCTAACAGTTTCAGTAAATGATGGTTTCTTAAAAACAAAAACGAATTTGAAAGGCATCTGGGTGGTACTCTCTCTGCAGGAGTATTAATACTGCCCAATGTCTTAGACTTCTTTCGTAAGAGAAAACAGTACTACACAGTGGGTATGAAAAAGCAAAGAGGAAAAGGAAGGATGAATTTGACACAAGATCCTTAAAAGAACTGTAAGTTGTATTATGAATAAATAATGCAATATGTATTTAAGCTTTGGCATTTTTTCCATGTCTCATTTTTTTAAAAGTAGGAATATTTCTTAGGAGACAATGTGTTCTTGAAAAACAGTAATATATTTTGTGTCGACTTTTTGAACCTGAATTTATTTTTATTGTTAAAGTAGAATAAGAAAATGTTGATAGAAGCCAAAATAGTTGCTCACCACTTTGAAGAAATATTCAGTGAAAGAAGACCCCTGCTTAGGTCTCTTTTGGTAAAGTTTAGAGTTGTTATAAAGAGGAAAAAATTATTCAGTCTTCTAGAAAGGAAAACGAAAATTTTATTTTCAAGAGATCAAGACTCTGCATGACTTCTTTTATAAAATGAAACGCCTGAAGGCCAGAAAGCAGGATTGTGAGACAGATAATACAAGGGCTTATAAAACTAATTGCCATTTACCTTTCTTAAAAATGGACTCTTGTAAACGAATTAAAAAAATCGCTCTGAAAAAAAAAAAATGGACTCACTGTGTACTCTCAACATGGATAAATCTCAAAAGCATGTTGTGAAAAAAATCAAGGAAATCAAATATTGGAACAGCTGAAGTTTTCCACGCACTTTTTTCCCAACCTATTTCCCCCTTTCTTCTCCTGAGATAACCAGCACACTTATTTTTTTGTTTTTTATCATTACCATTCACAGTTACCCTACCCTCTCTAAAAATGTATAAATAAATAAATAAAAATATATAGATATGCACATATTTCCAAACTTTGTAAATATGCTTTGCTTTACAAGTTGCTTTTTCTCCTTTTTCTCCTTTAAAACACATGCATTTAAAAGCCGGATGGTGTCACATTACGTAACTACACCACAAAGCATCTATCCAGATATTTTCAGTTTTTCTCAATCAGATTAATGCTGCTTTGACCCCTCTCACAGGATGAATCATGATGCAATGAATGTTCACGTACAAGTCTTTGGATGAAATGTGTTTTTAGTTTTCCTGCTATAGCATATTTTAATATTTTAATGTGGCCAAATTTATGAATCTCTTCCTTTTACGGATTTTCCTTTTTCTTTTTAAAAGTAATTCTTCCCAACACCAAAGATCATAAAGATATCATCTTGTGTCTTCCTCTTGGATATTCACGTTTAGGCTTTTAAGCCATCTGGCTTAAATATAGGAATATAAATCTGTTTCTGTGGATTTGGATACCAGGTAGGGTGACCAACCTTCCCAGTTTGTCTGGGGCTCATGGGTTTGCTGGGACATAGGACTTTCAATGCTGAAACCAACCAGGCAACTGGGATGAGCTGGTCACCTAATGCCAGGAATCTGGGTATTTATAGAATAGCTCATTCTTTCTTTTGCTAAAGCCACCTTTGCTATATGCTGATAAAGTTTTCAGTATTTTTTTTTTAACTTTTAAAAATTTTTAATTGTTTTTGGCTGCGGGCTTTCTCTAGTTGTGGTGAGCAGGGGCTACTATTTGTTGCGGTGCGTGGGCTTCTCTTGTTGCAGAGCATGGGCTCTAGGCACGTGGGCTTCTGTAGTTGTGGCACGTGGGCTCTAGAGCACAGGCTCAGTAGTTGTAGCACACGGGCTTCAGTAGTTGTGGCATGCGGGCTTCAGTAGTTGTGGCTTGCGGGCTCTAGAGTGCAGGCTCAGTTGTTGTAGCATGTGGGCTCAGTAGTTGTGGCTCGTGGGCTCTGGAGCACAGGCTCAGTAGTTGTGGCACATGGGCTTAGTTGCTCCATAGCATGTGGGACCTTCCCAGACCGGGGCTTGAACCCGTGTCCCCTGCACTGGCAGGCGGATTCTTAACCACTGCGCCACCAGGGAAGCCCCAGTAATTCTCTTATTGCCTTCCCTTGATGTGGAAAAATCGATGTTCCATTTCTGACTAAGCATAAATACCATTAATTTTGAAAGAAAATGTTCTTATAGTTTTTTCCTAAGAAAGACTGAGGTATTTGATTTGTTGATTGTTAACATGAGGTTATTTGTTTATGGTTCTGGATTTACACTTTCTAACACAAAATTAAATACCAAGTTTTATAGCTGTGTTTGCTTCTTTTGTACTCATCAGTGTTACTTGTTTCCCATGACTGCCCTCTGGGTTCACTTTTTACCCTTTTTACCCTTGAATACCTCCTTAGTTCTTTAGGGAGGGTCTGAAGGCAGTTACCTCTCTTGGCCTTTGTATGTCTAAAAATGACTTATTTTACCTATACTCCTGAGTTATAGTTTGACTAAGTTTTCTGTTACTTTGCTCCTGTACTTTGAAGACATTGCTCTCTTGTCTTTTGTAGACCCACATACCACGTGCTACACAGGTGCTGGCTGTGATGAGGATGTCCAGGTACAGATTTATCTTTTATTCGCCCTGGTCGACGTTAGTAGGAGGAGGCTGCTCTGGGACCCATCACCACCTGTCGCCCATACACCATCAGTCCCAGACATTGTTCAGGCCATGGTCCCCGCCTCCTGTGCCATCCCAAGCCACCAGAGCAGGGAAGGGGGGGATGGGGTAAATGCCAGGCGGCATCCCTGCTGCACAGAGACACCTTTGCACACCTCTCAGGCATCATCTCACTGAGCCTGATGAGCAGAGTGTAAAGGGTGGAAGACGGGCCTCAGTGCAGTCTCTTCACCCCCTGGTAGGTCCCCTCCCCGAATAGCGGGGGTCCTGGACACCTCGGTGCGTCAGGGGTGCCAATGCTCCCTTTCCTCCAGTCTCCTGCCGCGTCCTCTAGACCCCTTGTCAGGGCTGAAGGCTCACTTTAAACTCCGGGCTGCTAGGCTCTGGTCAGCCACTCTCCCCCATATTCCCACTTGAGTCTGGGGTTCCGTCCCGAATGGACAGACCTCCCAGCATCAGGGTAACCTCCATCCTCAGAGGCACCGGCCTGGAACTTTATGGAAATTAACACCAGCCCGAGGCAAGCAGGAACAGCCCAAACCATCCTGGACTTTTCACCTTCAGCCTCCCGCCTGGCCACCCCCACTTCCCTGATCAATCCCAGTTTTGCTTCTCCACGGCGTAGTGAGGTCTGGTCTTAACTGAATTGCAATAATTGAATTGCCTAAAGCTATGCACACATTTGGCTGTCACGAAGCACGCTTCATACCCAAGATTTCAGAAATGCAACCTAATGTTCCTGTGATTTCTGGGTGTAAATCAGCCCCGTTTCTCCAGACCTGCAACAGTGACTCAAACGCTCAAGTTGTATCTCTTTTTTTAAAGCAACGATTGTGTATCTTCCACTACTAGTAAGTAAGCCTATATTTTTAGATTTTCCTCTCTCTGTCAAGCTTAGTTTTTGACATTTTTCTTTATTAAAAAACAATAGTAATAAAACAGAAGCAGCAGAATATAAAATGCAGGCTCATTCTCCTTCATAACCCTAGACTTAAAGACCCAGATTAAATTCTAAGTCCTCCATGAAGCCTTTGTTACCAACTGGAGGGCCTTGAGTTCACTCCTTTCTGCCCAGATATTAATATTCAATCGTCAGCTGCCTTAGGTTGCTCTTTAGATATTTGATACACATTAGTTAGCCTGATTTCAGGGATTTGCATATGTCTCTCCAGAGCTAGGATGCAGCCTCCTCTTGGGTTTGTTTGTTTGTTTGTTTTTGTTGTCCTTTACAGAACCCACATCAGAGGCAGGCATACAGCAGTTGCTTAAAAGCACTTACTGCGTTCAACAGAAACTGGGACCATTCAGGGTACCGTTTTCCTACCAGGAGCGCGATCATGAAAAGCCGCAAACCTTACCAAGAACAGCTACAACAGCAGCACCAGCAGAAGCAGCAAGCGTTGGGCCCCCGGTTCCCCACTCCGCGCGGGCCTGGGGCGGAGGCTGCGGGCCCCTGGGCGGCGCACACCTGCCGCTTTCGCATCTCCACGCGTTCTGATCCCATCGGCTGCAACAGGGAAAGTAAAAGGGGGGCGGGGGCAGACTTAGCACCACATAAGCTGGAGATTCCGATTCCGCTGTCGTTTGGATCATTGAGAAGATGCAGCGTGACTCTCTCCAGATCATTTCTGCTAATTCTGGTAAAATTTAGTGCTTACAATCCGTTAATTGACCAAACATTTAAAATTTAGTGCTTACAATCCGTTCATTGACCAAACATTTATTCACTGTGATAAATTCTAGGAGTGAAACGACGAATGGGGGCTCCCTGTGCTAAGGCGCTCACATTTGGGTCAAGGAGACAGACACTGGCATCACATCCCTCAGACATCGTGGTGAGGACCTACCACAGGTGCGTTTCAGAGCTCGAGTCCCCCCCCCCCACCTCGGCCCCCCCTGGCCCATCGTGAGGACGGGGACAGTTACAGGGGCAGCTGGATCGCAGCTGCAAAGCCCTTGGAACCGCGCCAGTGCGCAGTCCTGCTCAGGGGTGCCCAGGACGCGAGCCCGGCTCAGGACAGTGACCCACACCCATCCTGCCACCTGCAGGGACGATGCCCTGGCCTTCCTCCCTGGGCATTGCGTGGTCGGAAACCCCTTCATCCCTCGCCTTGCCTGAGAACTACAGGAATGGTTGAAGGAGAGAAATATAAACGCAGCATAGGAAACAAGAAATTGCTGTGTCCGTTTTAATTTTTGATACAATGGTTTGAGTTGTTGGTAGGGTAAAAAAAAAAAAAAAAGTCCAATCTGTGTTAAAGAACCTTAAATAGATCCTTGGAATCCAATTCGGAATTTGATATTCTATTCCAACATTAGATTCATCTATCCCTACTATTACTTATCCTTATATGCTGTTGGACTTTGTTTTAATTATCATAATTTTATTGTATGTTTTCATATTGGGTAAGTTAAATTCTCTTCATGAATTAAAACCAGGGAGTTCCCTGGTGGTGTAGTGGTTAGGATTCTGGGCTTTCACTGCTGTAGCCCAGGTTCAATTCCTGGCCGGGGAACTGTAGATCCCACAAGCTGCCATGGCACAGCCAGGGGAAAAAAAAAAAAAAAAAGGTTATGAATTAAAACCAAAAAACCTTTTTGGCTGTTCTTGCCTGTTTGTGTTCCACTGGAATTTTGGAATCAGCTCATCAATACCATGTGGGAATCTGATTAGGACCACACTGGATTTACAAGAAATATTTGTGAGAAATGGCATCTGTTTCAGTACCTATCAGGGATGACTGTAATATGGAAGAACCATTGTTCTATTACAAGTTCATCACTAAAGGGATGTTGCCTATAAGCTTAAATGATACATTAACAGCCCATCTCTGAGAACCCTGCCTCCCAGGTAATGAGCATTAAGCTAAAATACCCTTGTTTAGCTCACAAGAAACATCCTGACCAGGTCCACCTGTGGATGGCTGCAGGAAAAAAGAAACTCACACAGCCCCGTCCAGAGGCGGGCTAGAACCAGGAAGTGCTCGACTTTACTCCCTCCCCTTTGAGTATAAAAGAAGCCTGAACTCTAATTTGCGGAAGACGGTTCTTTGAGACCTTAGTCCACCAACTTCTTGGTCTGCTGGCTCTCCAAAGTTGTTCCCTGCCTCAACAGCCCGTCTCTTGATTTATTGGCCTGTCCTGCGGTGAGGACAGGAGCTTGGACGGTAACTACTACTCAGGATTGGCCCTTGTCTTTTAATCATCCTGGGATGTAAGTTCCAAGACAGAACGAGAGACCCATCAGAGGGATTTACTGTCCCTTCCTCCACAGCCAGAACAATGCTTACAACACCGTCCACAGCGCCCAGCCTGGGTGGTCCAGCCTCCTGAGTGGACCCCTTTGAATGTCCCTGGGGGAGAAGCTGGGTGCCTCTGGCATCACGTTCTCACCGCATCCGTGGCATTTCAGTGGAGCCAGAGACTGACAATGGTTTCACTTCATTCAGGACACGGAGAGGCAAGGCCACGCCAGCACAGTCTCCAAACAAAGATGCTTTCAGCCAAAGATGCTCCGGGTAACTTATTTTCTCAAAGATACTGATGCACCTTGCCTCATTAAAAACAAAATCCCCATTGCTTCTCAAAAGAAGGAAGGATTGTGACGTGGTCATGTCAGTGGGTTTCAACGTCTTTGCGAGACTGGGTCTCCGCAGTCGGTCATGAAATAGCTATTCATTTAAACCCTGTCTTATGTACAGTTCAAGAGTTGTCCTCAAACAGGTTCTGCATATTTTTGATAGGTTTTTTTTTCCTGAATATTTTAGAGGTCAATTTTTGCTGCTGTTGTAAATACCTCCCCCTGCCCCATGTTTCTAAATAGTTACTTCAGAGTCTAGGAAGGCTAATGACACTCTATCTGACCTATTGACTTCTCTTAGTTTTACAAGTCTTCCTGTTAATTCTCTTGTTAGAATCTCTTGTTTCCTAGTTAGATACTATCTATAAATAATCACACTTTACTTTCTGTCCCTTTCCAAGGTATATACCTCTTTCCTCTCCTTGGTCTTACTTCACTGGCCAGGAAGTTCAGTAAATATTGAAAAGTAGAAATACTGTCAGGCACTTTTGTTTTCTTCATGACTTTAATGAGAAGACTGACAGTATTTTCCCTGTATGTGTGCTGTGTGTCGGAGGTTTCTGGGAGAAGATAACTTTACCAAGTTAAGCAAGTTTTCTTATATTGCTTTTACATAGTATAAAATAAGTTGTGCCAGCCTATCTTAATAGTTAACATATTTTATTTGTTCGTACACACCTATTTCTTTGTAAATACAGTTGTCCCTCAGCACCCATGGGGGACTGGTTCCAGGACCCCCAGGATACCAAAGTTCACAGATGCTCAAGTCCCTTACATAAAATGATGTGGTATTTGCACATAACCTGTGCACATCCTCCTGGACACTTTAAATTATCTCTAGATTACTTGTAATACCTAATACAATGTAAAGGCCATGTGAATAGTTGCCAGTGCAAGGCAAAATTCAAGTTTTGATTTTTGGAACTTTCTCAGTATTTTTGATCTGAGGTTGGTTGAATCCACGGATGCAGAACCTGGGGATAAAGAGTGCCAGTTTACCTGGAAGAATCTTGATTTAGTGAGTAAACTCTTAGAGAACATCACAGGGTTGCTCATGACTGAATATAGCCTTCAGAAAGCAGAGGCAAATCTCATCAAATTCTGTTCTTATACACTTTTTTTTTTTGTGGTACTTGGGCCTCTCACTGTTGTGGCCACTCCCGTTGCGGAGCACAGGCTCCAGACGCGCAGGATCAGCGGCCACGGCTCACGGGCCCAGCCTCTCCACAGCATGTGGGATTTTCCCGGACCAGGGCACGAATCCGTGTCCCCTGCATCAGCAGGCGGACTCTCAACCACTGCACCACCAGGGAAGCCCTGTTCTTGTACACTTTTGAAAACAGCTTTATTGAGGTCTAACAGACATGCAATAAATGGCACATGTTTATTGATGTTTTGACATGTATATACTTGTGACACCACGACCACAGTCAAAACCACATCATCAAGCTCAAAAGTTTCTTCACATCACTTGGGATCCCTCCCTCTTGTATCTGCCAGCCCCAGACAGTCACTGATCTGCTTTCTCTTACTATATATTAATTTGCATTGACTAGAATTTTATATAAATGGAATCATACGACATCTACTCTTTTTTATCTGGCTTTCTTCATTCAGCAGTTATTTTGTGATTGTTGTATTGTTCATTCCTTTGTATTTCTGAGCAGTATTCCATTGTATAGTTGTGCCACAATTTCCTTATCCACTCACGTACTGATGGACTTATACCTTTTTGATAGTTGCTGGAAAGATTATATATATATCTCATTGTCTTCTTTTGAATGTGAAAGTCTTTCATCAGACAAAATGAGAGGTGTATGTTGCTGAGACTGTGTTAAAAGGTACTGCACTGTTTACAGTTGTAACGTGTTTCTCCAGTGTGTTCTTCCACATTGACTAATGCTTGCTGGTTATGTTCTTTTGGCATTTGTATTGGATTAGTCCTGGGATGTTAACCATTTTCCTAATTTATAATCCCTCATTTCTTTTCTCAGTGTTCCATGTCTCAGTTCATCTTTGTAGAGTCTCAACTTGGTGTCAGAATCTATTTAATTTTTCCTCTGAAGATAATTACAGTTTCTTGTATGGTTTCTTGGAATTCTTATACGTGGTTCAGTAATTCTGACAACTTAAATCATTTAAAGCTTTAAATACACAAGTACACAGAGATATATGCCATTCCTATAAAATTTACAAACAAGCTATCATCTCTCAGTTCCTCAAAATTCTAAATTAATAGGCATGGTTTTCACTCAGTCACTAGCTGTTGGAACGTTTAGTGGCGGGAGTGGTCATGATACCCAGGCCCTGCTGAGCAGTGGTGAAATGTGACAGCCTGAGAGGAAGCTAAAAATGTTAATAAAACATGAATATAAAGATAAGCAAAATGTTGATAATTGTTGACGTTGTGTCATTGACCACATGGCCTTTGCTATACTAGCCTCACTACATTTATGTATGTTTGAAAATTTTCCTTAATGAAGTTTCCAAAATGTCAAATTCTATCGCATTAAAAAAAAGATCTTTTGAGATGATCATATGAATTTCCTCCTTTGAATAGTTAATGAAATGAATCACATTAATGCATTTCTTTTTTTTTTTTTTTTTTTTGGCCACGCTGGGTGGCGTGTGGGATCTTAGTTCCCTGACCAGGCATCGAACCTAAGCCCCCTGCAGTGGAAGCACAGAGACCTGACCACTGGACCACCAGGGGAGTCCCAAATACTTTTTTTCTTTTTAATTAAATTAAATTAATTAATTATTAATTTGGCTGCATTGGGTCTCTGTTGCTGCGCGCAGGCTTTCTCTAGTTGCAGTGAGCGGGGGCTACTCTTTGTTGCGGTGCGCGGGCTTCTCATTGCGGTGGCTTCTCTTGTTGTGGAGCATGGGCTCTAGGTGCGCGGGCTCAGTAGTTGTGGCTCGCAGGC